AGCGGACACTAGAGATTACTGCTACCTGACAAGGGGTTGACAGGTCTCTGCAAATATTTCAAGGGCGGAACATTGCGGACACTTGTATCTACGACGGGGAAAAAGGTGCGAGGGAGGGAGGATTTTATACGCGTTACGGCGCGTTACGTTTGTGCTTACAATGTTTTAAAACACTGCTCTAAGGATTTCAAAAACTGGAACTAATAGCCTTCAACAAATGCTGTTATTGATTATGAATATTTTGTAGAGCTATGCTGTTGATAATTATATTTTCATTAGAGATTGCTTGCCAGATTGATAATGTTTGTTAATAAAATAAAGAATGAAGACTGGGCATCGCTAAGAGGCTTCTTACTTTATTAGCAAACAGCTGTTATCTGGACTAAATTATTGTGTGGGAAATTCGTTAAACCAGTGTAGTGTGGCAAAATAGTATATTACTTTACAAGTCCTGAAAATCAGTGTTTGCCGGACGAGAACGGGATTACCATACGAGTCCGGTAAACACATTTTGGACGAGTGACGTACGATATTTTACGCCATACTACTAAATCTGTACAAATCCTTATATATTACCACCAACTAAAGGACTCAAAATCACTAGTCATAACCTCTTAGATAGGTTATGTTTTTGTTTATAACTACTCACTGCCATCCAAATACAGTATAATCAGCTGATTGGTGTCCGGCAAAACTCATTACAGTACAGTAGTATGCAATGAAACCCCATTTGATTAAGCTGGCGGCAAACAGCTGTTTTCTGGACTAAATCCTTGCGTGGAAAGTTCGTCAAAATAATGTAGTGTGGTGTAAAAGTTGTTTACCGTGCACTTAGTCAGCTGATGAAATAAACAGCAAAATGCAACGGCTTTTTTTATTTTCTGAAATATAAAATATTATAATTTATGTTATATCCTAAACAAATTGTTTCATGAGTTCAAAATGTACTTATTTTTCTGTGTAGTATGATGTCAGGTATCGTACGTTACCGTACTCGCCCTGTAAGCTTCCCTGTTCTCGCACGAAAATCCTGCGAAAATCTGCGAACTGTCGTGCCTGCACGGTAAAACACCACTTACCGGGCTAGTAGTGTAATATCCTATTCCTGTAGGCATGTCAAAACTGTACGACGTGCCTATCGGCTTGGCAATCAATTGACAAAGGTAACCCGATGTCAAATATGGGCCTACAAACTATGATACATGGTACAAGATTAACTTTTATAACATTAAGCCTTGTATAATTTTAATGTTGTCCAGCTTCAAAAAGCGTTATATTTATCCAAAATTTTGCATTGTAATTTGATGCGTGTTTATTGACAATAATTTGTAATAATTAATAATTAATAAATGATAATGGACAACACTCTATCTACTTGTTCAAACTAATAATATCCTATAGAACTCGATAACAGAGTGATGTTCAACTTATATTCCAGCTTTCAGTAAGTAATTAAAATACAAACAATAGGTATTTTCATAAAGAATACATTAAACTCAAGTGATATGTATAATTTCAATTATATTGGGGGTCGATATATAAACATTTAAATGGTAGTGAAATCAGTTTACATTTGTAAACATATGTAAAACTAAAACGAAACATATCATATGTACTTCTGAACAATATTATCATTACGTTAGTTATAAAAATTTAGTTTCAAGTAAATTGTTAAATTTAAGCGAGTTAAATTTAGCGAGTTTAACAGGGTTGGTATATCCAATAGCACAAATGGAAATTCACTAAACATAGGTCTCATTGCAAGACCTAGACCCGGAACCGAAACAGATTTTTTTTTGTTTTAAGCTCCCCAGAGGCCAAAAACAGTTCGTTCAAATATGTAAGTGCAATATAAAGATATTTATAATTGCGTCAATTAGCACTATAACTCAAGAAAAAATAAACATTGTAAGCACAAACGTAACGCGTATAAAATCCTCCCTCCCTCGCACCTTTTTCCCCGTCGTAGATACAAGTGTCCGCAATGTTCCGCCCTTGAAATATTTGCAGAAACCTGTCAACCCCTAGTCAGGTAGCTTTAATCTCTAGTGTCCGCTTATGCCCTCTTTAATGATGTGTCCCCAATATTCCGTGTCCGCATTTGCCCGGCATTCAATCATGTGCATGATTAACTGCCTTAAGGAACACGAAAGGGCAATAGATACAAATTAACATTAGCCGTCGTAAGATTTTCTCAAAGTGTAACTTAATTTGACTTGGAGTAAATTTTCTTTCGTCCTAATTAATTGAGCGAAGCTCTTATACTACACTCTTGTTTTTGCTTTACAAATACTCCCCCTGAACGGCTGAAGTGATCCGCACGATATTTTGCACAGTCATAGTCATAGCTATAGGAAGGTATAAATGTGAAATAGTCAAAATCGGACTACAGTGCACCCCCTACATGAATTAAAACTTTCAGAAATTTAACATGGGCCATATGGGTTGATTGATCGCCATAACAATGTTTGGAAGATAACAATTACATGTAAATAAAAGCGTCTTAACATATGTTTATCAATAAATCATTGGAGCTCATAGCTCATTAAAACAGAGACCAAAAGGGAAGATACATTTGAGCAATTCCGTAGAGCATAATTTGCAATAAAATGAACAACCAATTAGGCTTAAGCATAATTGACTTTAGATACTGCAAATAGGCAATTTAATTTATGTGAACCAAAAATACCACTGGCCTTAGATACTGAATGTATACATTACATTTACGTGAACCAGACGTACCATTGATTTTGGATACTGCAAATAGGCATTCCATTATATGAACCAAATACACATTTGGCTTAACATACTGCAAGTAGATATCTTATCTACGTGAACAAAAGATTCTGGTATTTTAAAGTGATTAATGTGCCATATTTTGCGATTTCGATAGTACCATGTTTTGCGTCATGTAGGTATTTTAATTATTGTGTTTAGTTTAAGTATGTAAGCTTTTTTTGTGTGACATACTTGTCGAATGGTGGAGATTTGAATAAAATGATGTAAATAATTTAATAGTTAAACATTGCTTCCTGAAACATGATTATATATAAATAAAAAAACCTTTAATATACGTTTACTATTAATATAGTATAGAACCACCACTTGGAAATCCTTGAGAAAAAATCAAGTTTGAAGGAGTAAAACACAAAGAGAGGTGCAAGACAAATATTTTTAATATCTTTACTTTTAATAAAGGGGGCTTGTAAGAGCGGCTTATTGCTTTACCTTCAAAAGAGCGAAAATAAATATCTTGTAAGGTGTAATACAATAAGGGCCTTGCATATCGATGTATTTTTATATTTTACCAAAGATTTAAGGAAAAGTCACTCCTACTGTGTCAGCCCCCCCCCCTATTATTATTACCCCCTTAAATCTATTATTTATCTTAAGAGAATTAATTAGTAAATAGTCAACAGTAATGAAGGAAGTGATACAGTTATGATGCGTTGGTGCAATTGAATATGGATATTTTAAAAGATTCCAAATTAATGTGAATTTCAAATTAGAGAAACTTTGAAACAATTATAAAATATGTTTAGTTATTGATTATGGTCCAGAGTTATTAACATCTCAAATGTTCTCTTGTCTATATGATTTTGCCATCTTTAACACAAGATGGGTATTTATTATGGCTGCATATCATCACCAAAACATTATTCACTTCAAATATTTGTCGCTCATTGGCAGTATAGACCTACTCTCAGTATTTCGTAATACAGTAGTAGGCTTCAAGTCATCTTAATTAATGTAAGACGAAACAAATGAAATAACAGTCATATGAAGAAAAATAAAACTGTTGGCCTATTCCAAGACAATTTGGATACGCCTTGTTTTTGTATTAAAACGCCTTTATAAGAAGCTTTTCTAATGTATTCTAATTTTTGAAACACCATCAGTTTTGTGATGTCTAGCTACAATACCTGCAAAGTTTACCGTACTATATATCCTAAAATTGTATAGAAAGAGTGGATTTAACGGTTCCGGATTAATGAGGTTTTACTGTAAAGTCTACAGTACTGTCATGACTAATAGCGCTGCCCATTGAGTCAATCAATATTTTTGGTGGCATTTCACATTATCCGCTTTTAGTACTTTATTATAATTTGTCAAGCCTTTTTCTATGTTTTCATGTCCATGTATTCATTTATGTGTACGCGACTTCTTACAACCCAAAGGATAAAGACGGTAGTTTTAAACAGCTTGAAAATGAACCTTTAGGCTCAATGCCATTATCTCTGGAAAACCAAGACTACTCTACCAGGAGACACAACAATGCCAAGATCCTCCGCCGACAAAAGGCTCCGCATTAGTGACGTCATAGTTGGTCAGCAGAAGATCGTGGGAGAAGGAAATGTGTCACGTCAACGCCAGGGCTCGTTGCTCTCGGTGATGATTGGGCCACATTATGCCATCGGAGTGTAGGAGTTTTGCCAACGGGTATCAGGTAGAAAGGGTCCCTTGGTCCCTATACGCGAATTCCTCATACTGCGGAGTTTTGCCATCGGTTGGGGGTGGGCGCGAGAGGGGGAGGGATAGAGATTACACGTGACAGTGAGGGTGGCTTCCGCTAGAGATGGACAAACCAGGCAGGATGCTGACTGTGTTCAAAGGAATGCAGTTATGTACCTATGACTGTGAAAAGAAATGGATTGTATTTTTAACCTAACCTAACCTAACCCACTGCGACAAGCGCATAACTGCATTCATATGAACGCGGTCATCACCCTGCTCGTCAACCCCAAGCGTAGACAACCCTGACAATCGCTCTCTCTCTCCCTCTATCACACTCTTTCTCCCTCCCCCACCGTTTGCAAATCTCCGCATCAAGAGGTGGCCAACAGCATCCCCCCCATCTACCTGACACCCGTTGGCAAAACTCCGGTTCCCATGCCGTCGGAGGACCTTGGCATAGACCGAACCGTTGTTTGTATCCAGTTGCAAAAATATGTAATCTTCCATTCGACTCATCCCTCTATCACATTCGACGAAGTACTTACTCGCATATCCTGCCAGGATGGACGCCAGCCCAGCAGAATAAACCTCTCTCTCTCGCTCCTCCTCGCTGGTGCTACACTCCCGCCAATCTTCTCCTCGACGTTCCCTCCTCAGTCGCATCACACCCCCACTGCGACGCCCCAGTGACGAATCCATGGTCGCGTCACGGTACGTCACTTTCACTCCCGATCACTCCGTCATGTCACCGTCACTCGCGTCACTGTCACTCGTCGCGTCACGTCACTCGTCACTCGTCACGGCTGAAACAGAAGGCACATAAAGTTGGTTAGAATATAGTAAAATATGATATACAGAAGTAGATAAACAAGCAAACTATTGGTATACTAAAACATCTATATGTTTAATCAGATCTAATGGCGTCTGTTCGTAAGTGTGTTACTAATTGGCGTACACATTACTGAACTGATTACTGATTGAGCTTCTTCCAAAATAGAACTACTATACCAATGATCCGTTTAGGACAATCCACGCTTCGATACTGACCAAGTTCTGAGGATTCATTGTCTGAGGTGAGGAATCAAAAGGTAAATATTGATTGTTCTCGATGGCTGCAATGAGAAAACCACCATGACTAAATGTTTTTCTATAACATCTCAATGTAAACAAGCAGAACTGTCAAAATTGATCATTTCACAATTATTTCAGACAGCTGAACCAAACAAATGGAATAACATTTTTTCTCAACCATGTGATAGGTTTGGTTTTAACTTTCCTGATTCCATCATTGATTATGGAGTTAAGTAAGAATCAATAACCGTTGTTCCACGATTTCTCCCTGAGTTTTTAAAGTGTAGTCTTAAGATGTACAGTATTAAAAAAAAAAAAAAAAAAAAAAAAAAAAAAAAAACTATAAGGATTACATGTTTAGAAATGATTTTACATTTTGTTAGTTAACTAATTTACAACCAACAATTTAACAACTGAAAACTGAATTATGTTTTTATTAGACTTTAAAATACAAATTGTCTGGTTTTTCGAAACTAGATGAATGTAAAATGTTTACAAATACAAGAGAACTATTTGTACACTATTACTTGTTTTGTTTTTTTTTTACCGGTATACAGATAATTTTTTTTATATTATTAGACTGTGCCATAGCAGAGTAATAATGATTATTTATTACTACTAATTTTTTTCAAAGGGACAGGGCTACTTGTCTTTTTTCTATTATTGACTTTCGACACAGCAACTATTAGAATTTTTATCATTTACCTACATGTATCCTATTGCAAAATCTAAAGCTTTTATTATCTTTGTTTCATGTATGGATAACGATTGAGTGCCATGATGTTTCTAAATACTCATATTTTTTCTTAACACTGTTTTCTTAAGCTGTAAAGTGTTCATTTTTTTCTAAAACCCATGAAATATTTGTTACTATGTTTCCTTAATCATTGGTAAATATGTAAATGTATATGCAATGGATCCATGGTAAAAAGAACTGGTTAGTATGTTATGCTGTTATTTAATGTAATGCTGTTAGTTAATGTTATGTTGTAGGTTAATGTTTTTGTAGTGCAGAATAAGAGGTGTAATGAAACATATTTTTACCATTAATTTGTTCAGTGCTTGATGTTTTGGTTTTCATATTTGTGTTGTTTGTAGTCTTCAATGCTAAATTTAATTTGTTAAAAGATACAAAGATTAATGTTTTATTTATTAATAAAAAATCATAATTAGCATTGCTACTTATACGTGGTAAATTAATAATTTACAACTTTATAAAGTATACATATCGTTTCTTTAATAAATTTCGAACCCTTATTAATAAGGCACAACATACCTTTATAACATCTGATTTTTGTGTATTTAAATGATTTATTGTGAGTGGAGAATGAAGATTGAAGGATTTTGCGATTTGATCTTAAGGAGGTCGATGTACCTAAAATAGTTTTTTTTATTTAAATTAAACAATTAAACTTAGAAACTTTATTATAAAAATTTTTTGATTGAAATTCAAAATGACAAAAATAAATACAAAAGATAAGTAAATTAGGGAGATGAAGGTGAATCAAGTATATGGAAATGTCTTTGTAAAATTTGGTAAGATTTAAAATTAATCCATACAAAAAGGTCAATTTTCACTACTTAATTTAAAAGCCATAAACGTTTATGAAAGATCAAAAAGCTTTATATTTCGCGTCCTCTTCCCGTTGTAAAGCACGGTTACAACAGCTAGTATACTGTATAATTAACCTAAGGTTTTACCTGATATCCCATTGTTTACAACGCAACTTTCCCTAGAAAATATAAAAATAAAATACATATAAATTCAAATTCAACTAACCCAACCTATCATAACACCTATCAAATGTTCATGGACGTCGGCTGTATCTACTTCACGAGCCCCAACCTAACCTTACAAAGTAAGGAGCGTAACCTAACTTATCTAAACCCAACCCAAGCCTTTATAACCTCTACCTAACCCATTTTCACCTTACTTAATAAGGACCTTTTCAATCGTATTAAAAGATAAAATATAGTTAAGTTGGGGTGATAAAGGTTTACGAGATAGTTTTCACTTGCTAATATTACGACTTTTAGTGCATATGTAGGCCTACATGCTAATCCTCAAACGTTTCTCCATATTATTTCTGGAATCACTTTGAATTATTGAAGGATATGTACCTTACATTATTTTAAATATACAGGGTGGGGCAATGAAAGCACCCCAATTTATAAGCTGTAAAAACTCAATAATATTCACCCTATAGATATAAATAGCACATCAAAACACAGCTTATCTTTTGCCATTTTAACTTAACAAAGTCATTTTTCCATTTCTTGAGAACAAAATCCTGCAAGTGACGTCCTTGTCCTACTCGACATTCCTTTTAAGGCACAATTCCATCAAATACTTCTCCAGCATTTCTTCAGGTTCACTTTAGTTTTTGGACGATTCTTAGCTTCTTGAAAAACCTTCTTCTTGAAAAACCTCGAACTTCAAGTAGCTTACTAGAACAACCCCCCTCCCCCCTCCCAAAAAAGGAGCCAACGTAAAGCTTTCAACAACAAAAGCTTCCTGGAAAATTCAGTTGGACTTTGAGTTACTGCGACTCGCACTCTTTCAACATTTGCTGGTATACAAAGAGTTTTGCGGCACCCACCGCTTATTTTTTTAGGTTTAAGCGTTTATCCTAAATAATTTGACCCTGTTCATTATTGTTTTCCAATCGGGAACAATGCCATGTTGAACAAGGATGGAATGTGGTCCAAACAATCTCTGGGTTTTTGCACAAGAATCACTATTTTTAAAATAGGTTTCGACATAAAAATCTCAGTGTTAATAGCCTCAGGCATAATATTTACTAAAATGGCATAGTTTAATAGATGTTATAAGCACAGATGATCAATCTTTGTTGCAACAATTAACATGTGACAGCTAAAACAAATTGTGGCGTTCTCTTTGCCTCACCCTGTACAAGCAACCTAGAACATGTACACAGTGATAACATCAATAAATCATAAAATAACAACACTCTAAGAAAAATAACTTTTTTACGTTTGTTCTATTATAATTTGAGTGGGACTATACAAATTAGTTCATAATGATTATTTTAACACTTCGCATATTCTAAATGGCATAGTGGTGATGAGTATGCAAGATATAGTACACAGTACAGTGCGATGTATGAGGGTGGGTCGGCCACACGCTGGCGTGTCCTGTATTTAATTAATGAGAATGTATGCGTGTTGTTGGGGTCGTATTTCACCCCTGACCTAGGATACTACATCACACGGCTGCTTCCATACTAGGCTACATTTATAACACACGTGGTCGCTATGACGATTAATAATAACGTGTTGTTGTTAATATGTACAAACGTTGGAGATTCCAAGTAGCTTAACATGTCTTGGTTTGATTGTAAATAATACTAAACAAGAAAACGTTCTGTATTAATATGGCAGTCAGGCCAATTTTTTATAAGGAGGGTATTTTAGCAATTAACATGATCATTAGAAATTAGTAACAAGAAACTGTCAATATTTACAATGTCATCATAAGTATACTAATGTTGGCATATGAGAAAAAAGTAGAAGCATTAGAAGCAAGTAGAATTTTCACCTTATTGAAAATTTTGAAACAGTACTTACACAAACATTAAATGTTATGATGAGTTCGCTAATGCATTCTGACTATTTCTGTCTTATTTTGGAATGGTTTGTGTAGGTTTTCAAGGTAGTCAAATAACAACTAATAAACAACCAATAAAAACTAATAAACAGCAAAATGCTCTATAAATGAGCCATATAGAAATTATTTTAAAATCATATTCAACTGATCCATAAGAATGATAATGTAGATTATTTATTGTGTGCTTAGAGAGACGCATTTTTACTAGGAAAATTCACGACGAAGAAATATTCCGTATAAATAAGTTAGTTTTAATTAGTAATAAAGCCATAAAGCATTTCACTCTTTCTATAATCATCCTCAATACATAATTGGGTAAAACTTCACCACAGCTCAGAGTTTATGCCCTAACAGTGCTATGGTAGCATAAAGCATTTATCGTCCTGAACTTTTGAAGAATGCCTATAGCTCTCAGTGCTATGCTTTTACAAACAAACTACACAAAACATAACCATATAGTCAACCAGTTCCATAAAACATTGACTCCAACACATGAATCAGTTACATATTTTCTACCTGATAAATCCAAAGAAGATCAAACAAACATTTGCTAGAATTCACTACGTGCTTGAATCGTTTCTAAAATATCCAAAACGAAAGAAAATACTGCAAACCTAAGACTCTTTCAGACGGGTCCTCTCCTACCCCCGATCACAGTAACAGGTGAAGGATAGCCATTTACTGGAGATTCAGGGTGTCAGAAAGGCGTTACCCACATTAATTGCAGACTAGACGTCTGTTCTAATCAGTATCACTACATCTTCGTTGTAAATTGATCCTCCATACACAACGATCTCATGTTATAAAAGTAATACCCCCGCCGCAGCAAACCTGCAGACTAAGCGAATTTCCATTTCCCTGAATGAATTTTCACTAAAATGTCTCCTTCAAAATATCACATTTATTCCCTATTTAAATAGAATTAGTTTAAAACATTGGCTTGCTGCAACAAGGAGGGTAAAAGGGTTTTTTTTATGTAAAATCTTAATAGTTAGTATCG